GCTTTTCTAGCCAGAAGTCTTTGTAAACTCCGTGATGGAATCTGCCCTGAGCAAATGAGTAGCTCCTGATCATTTAAGTTATCCACCTGAGGTATTTACATTGAGAGTGGCACAAAGCAATGTTCTGGGTAGTTCACTCTCTCTCAGGTGTTTAGAATTCTGATGTTATGATTGGTTAGTTTGGCCACTCTGCCAGGCTCAAAAGGAGCCCTCCTAGAGGCAGAAGGAGTCTCTCTGACTACTGGCTGAGAAAGACGTGCTGCTGAGAGACATGCACTCCTGAGTGCCACGTGCTGCTGAGAAAGAGACACTGAGAAGCGGTGCTAGAAGAGAGACTGAGAAAGATTGTTGGCTGAGAGACTGAGCGTAGTTCCTGAACTTGAATTGTAGCCTGATGCTTCCCTAATAAACCCCATAATCTGTGAGTTCTGTGTGGCCACTGCAGCGAATTTTCGAACCTAGCAGAGAAGTGGTGGGTATTGCAGAGGAATGGTTGGTGCAAGGGCTGGTGGGAGGCAGCATGACTGGCCTTTCAGGAATAGGCCTTGGGCTACTGATGGCGATTCTGTTCTCCTCTTGTGGGGTTAGAGGAGGTCAGAAGGTGTGGGCTCCTTGCCCCATTAGCACAGTCATTTGTGGGAAGAAATAAAAGACTAGATTAAAAAAACAAACAAACCAACCTAGATCATTGCTGCCTATAAAATCAGCTGGCTTATGTAATTTTCTCAACACTTTTTTTTTCTTCTTCTTTTTTTAAAAACGTCTCCACTGGGGAGAATGAGATTAGGACCATTAGTCATACATACTATGATTCAGGATGAGCATCACATTATTAGGTGAAAATGAGATCAATTTTAAGAAAATATTTTCCTTATATAAGTGTACCTTGTCCAAGTTTAATGTAGGAGGCTTCCTCAGGCAATAAACCTAACCTCAAGTGGCCCCCTAATGCTACCTGGCCATCATCCCACCACAGCTCCCTTTTTCATTCCTTTTCCATATCTTCTAGACATCTTTTTCATACTTCTTTCAACTCAGTCCCTCAATACCTCTTTCCTCTTGTCACCCAGCCAACCAGGAGAGAACATCCAAAGACTCCCACCCCACATCCACCCATCTACCAACATCTGGCCACATATTCTGCCTTCCTACTGGATACCATGGATGAACTATCCTTGCTCCTATCTAAAGACGGTCAACTTGAACAATTCTCCCCTCTCTTCTCCATCAGTGATTCTTTTGTTTCTCTCTTCCATATAATCCCAAACATATTATTTTCCTATCTTAAAAAATTCACTTCTATAAAATGCTGATTAAATAAAAACATCAAGATGTAGAACAGTGTGTATAGTATGATACCAATATGGATATGGGTGTGTGTATGTTTGCTTATATCAAAAATAGAAAGATAAACCAAAAAATGAATAAAAATGAATTCCTTAAAAGGGATGCAATAGGTGAAGTGGGCAGGAAAGGAAACTAGAATGTACTAAAAATTCCTTGTTTTGTAATTTTCACTAAAATTTTTGTAATTGTGAATTTAAAGACCAAATATGAAGACTAACTACTAAATTTTTAAATTACTATTTACTATTTACTGAATTTCTCACTCTCTGCTAATGCACTTTCTCAAAGTTCCATTAAAGTGCTACATCACAATTTGCTAAGAAATATCTTCTTCTCTCCAGTATGTGGCTGTTCCATTTATTTTTCTGAGAATGGTTATCCTTTTGCCAGCCTGGGGGTGTCTGTAATTCATCCCATTGCTCTCATCTGATTCCTTTTTGATCTGTGTAATTCCTGAAGGGTACTGAGTGTTAAAGTCCTTTGAGTTTAATTGTGTGTAAACTCCATTTCTTGATGGTGTTGGGGGTTGGATGGGCCCAGGCTAAAAATAAATCCCTCCTGATAGAGAGAAACAAAGATGCCCCACTGTATCCTGGTTACCGTCAAGATGAACCTCCTCCTTCTCTGAGGGAAGCAGTTCAGGGCTTCCTTCTCCTGTTTAATCAGTCCACATCCACCATGTCGTTGACCACACAGGACTGTGCCTGTACATGTGACCTTGTTTAGAAACATGGTTTTCTCTTGTTATGTTAATGAAGTCATACCAAAGTAGGGTGGGTCCTAAACATAAGCCCTTCTGAATGGTGTTTTATAAAAAGAGAAAACAGACACAGACAGACAGACAGACACCCAGGGAACGCCATATAAAGACTGTTGTTGTTGTTATGTGCCGTGGAGTTGGACCCGACTCATAGCGACCCCTCCTTGGGTTTCCGAGGCAGTATCACTACAGAATTAGATTGCCCCATCTTCCTTCCGAGGAGTGGCTGGTGGGTTTGAACTACCAGCTTTCCGGTTACCAGTCAAGTGCCTTAGCCACTATGCTACCAGAGCTCCCGTATGAAGACTAAGGGACATGAATTTATAAGTAGCAAAGGAATGGCAAGGATTGTAGCAGCTACCAGAAAGTAGGAGAGAGACTCACAGAAGGGATCAACATAGTCAAGACCCTGATTTGAATTTTTCGCCTCTAGAACTGTGAGAAAATTAATTTCAATTCTTTAAAGTCACCTACTTTGTGATATTTTGTTCCTACAGCCCTAGGCAACTAAGACACACCCAAATATCTATCAACAGATGAATAGATAAACAAAATGTGCTACATACATACAATGAATATATTATTCAGCCATATAGAGAAGTAAAGTTCTGATACATGCTATGACATAGATGAACCTTAAGAACATTATACTGAGTAAAATAAGTCAGTCACAGAAAGACAAATATTGCATGATTCCACTTAAGTGACATATCTACAATAGGCAAATATATAGAAATCAAAGTTTATTCATGGCTACCTGGAGCTGGAGGAAAGAGAGGAATGAAGATTAATTGCTTAAAGGATACTGAATTTCTGTTTTGGAAAGAGTGGTGATAATTATAAACAAATGAATATAATTAATGTCACTAAATTATGCACTTAAAATAGTTTAAATGGCAATTTTTTTCATATATGTTTTACCACAATTTTTTTTTTTAATGTAGGAGATTTTTTATTTTTAATGTAGGAGATTTTTTTTTTTTCTTTTTTACCTTGGATAGAATATTATCCTGTGTTCCCACCTACCTTGCCTCATGTTTCCGTATGAAACAGCACCTATCACACTGTTATTTCTGCCTTGTCTATCTCCCTCACTAGATTGTGAGCAACAATCTAGGGCAGCAATTATCCCAGTTAATTTCTGTGTTTCTAGCCTCTACTCCATGGCCCAGCACTTCTCAAGTGTTCAATAAGTGTTTCTTAAATGGCAGAACAAATGGGGAAAATTATATTCAGCAGCTTGATGTTTACTGTAAATGTGAAGACCATTGCCATTCCATTACACCCATGGGAAGACTTGCACCAACCGCTGAGAACTACTGTTGCAGCCTCTGCCCAATGAAATGATGCTTTGTAAAAGATTTTATTATGAAACATAATGCTCATACAGAAAAAATTATAAAACCCAAAGATATGGTTTAATTATAAAGCAAATGCCCATGTCACCATCGTTCAGGAAAGAAATGGAACTGACAGAATTCCCCAAACCTCTGGATGGGATTGTAATCCTCTGATTACAATCCTCTCCTCCTGTAGCAGTGACCATGATTACAATTCTTATAATAAATATGTCTTCTCTTTTTTCATAGTTTATGAAATTTGTATGTTTTAGTAAAAAATAGTTAAGTGTTGGCTATCTTTAAACTTTATATAACCAGAATCACACTATATGTATCCCTTTAAGTCCTGATTCTTTTGTTCAACAGTATATACATTCCTCTATATTGCATGTATATGTAATTCGAGTCATTTTTTAATTGGTGTGAAGTATTACATTTTATGAACATTTTGCAAATGAGAGAAATGCTGTTGTACGGCATCAGAGAGTATGCATGTCTTCAACATTATATGATGGTGAAAAACTGTTTTCCAAAGTATTTGTACAAATTTGCACTCCCACCATCAGTGTGTGAGAGCTCCCATTGACCCACATCCTTGCCAACCTTGGTATAGTCAGACTTATATTTCACCCAATCTAGTTGGTTTTTACTGGTATTTATTTGTGGTTGTAATTTGCATTTCTCCCATTACGGATGAGACTGAGCACTTTTTCATATATTTATTGGACATTGGTGTATTCTCTCTTGGGAAGTACTTTGCTCATTTTTCTAATGGCTTGACTATTTTTGTCTTACTGATTTGCAGTAATTCTCTATGTATTCTGGCTATGAATCCCTAGTTAGTTATATGCATTTCAAATATCTTCTCCCATTGTAGCTTGTTTTTTCATTATCTTTTCTGTGACTTGTGATAAACAGATATTTCAAAATTTTAAAAAAGTCAAATTAATCCGTTTTATTCTCCAGGCTTAGAGCTTTTTGAATCTTGTTTCAGGCATAATTCCCAATTGTGAGATCATGACTTTTGTCTCCTATATAGTTTTATAGTTTTGCCTTTCACATTTAAGTCTTTAATGAGACTGCTTTTTTAGTGTTTGGCTTGAAGAATGGGACAAATTTCATTTTTTGATGTATGGATACCTAATAGCTCCAATTCCATTTATTATATGTCCATCTTCCACACTGAACTGCAGTGTTATTCCCTTTACATAACAATTGTCCACTTATTTGTCTGTTTCTGGACTCTCTATTCTGTTTCATTGGTCAATATGTCCATCCATGCCTTAATAACACACCTCTATTACAATTTTAGCCTTATTATATTGAGAAACTGATTTGATGCATTTAAGAAAATACTTCTTATCTCTTAACTGACATTTTTAGTTCTTTCCACAGAAAGGTTGATTTAATAACCTAGTCTATCATTAATGGAAATGGAAGTTGCAAAGGTGTATTTTTGGTTCCACTATAAGTCATTCTTTCATTTCAAAAACTTTTGGGTAGCTTTATCTATTCTTAGTGCATGGATTTCCTAGGAGCAGAATTAGCTATATCTAAGGATCAAGGGCCCCAGAATATTGTGGGTCCTGGGGACATGCCATTTTGGTGATGGCTGTTTTGACATCCTTGTTCCTCAGAGTATAGATGAGGGGGTTAAGAACAGGTGTAAGAATGGCAAACACCACATTGCCCATGATGTGGAAGTCGAGGGGCAGGTCAGCCCTGTAGGCCACATAGGCTATGGCAATGGATGAGTAGTAGGTGCTGACTACCAGGAGGTGAGAGCTGCAGGTAGAGAAGGCTTTTGAACGCCCTTCTTGGGAGCTGATACGAAGCACTGAGGCCAGGATGTGGGCATAGGAGAGAAGCACCAGAAGAAGGGGCAGGAATGATACCACCATAGCAATGCAAAAGCCCATAAAGGTCTGGGGGCTGGTGTCAGAGCAGGAGGCCTGGACTACAGCCAAGTGGTCACAGAAGCAGTTGTATATATGAACAGTGCTGTCAAACGCCATCTGGGAAGTCTGCACCACTGCTGGGATGGGCAGGAGGAGAGCAGTGAGCCAGGCACTGGCTGCCAGTGCAGCATTGGTCTGTGGGGTCATGTGGACAGAGTAGTGCAATGGGCGACAGATAGCCACATAGCGGTCATAGGCCATGACCACCAGGATAAAGGCTTCTGAGCAGGAGAAACTGTGGAAGAGGTACATCTGTAGGAAGCAGGCAGGAAAGCTGAGGAAGTGGTCTCCAAGTAGGAGCAGGGACAGCATCTTAGGGACAGTGGATGTAGTGAAAAGGATGTCCAGAGCAGAGAGATTGATCAGGAAGAAGTACATGGGCTTGTGGAGGCTGGGTTCTACCACCACAGCCACCAGAATCAAGCTGTTACCCACAAGAATGAGGAGGTAGAAGAGCAAGAAAATAAAGAAGACAGGGAGGAAGAGAAACTCCTGTAGAGAAGGGATGCCCACAAGATAGAAGATGGGTGAAAAACTCTCTGATTCATTACAGGCTGTGGCTTCCATGGTGGAACATAGCTAGATGGGCAGGTGACAGCCAGAGCATCTAGAAATCAGAACAACCAGGAGTTTAGAATGGGAATTCTATAGATTTCACCATACAGTTAATGCAATCCAAATCATTCATAACCAGATCTGAAGGACTGTGGTGGCCTCCAATATTGATTCCTCCATCTTAGCCCACAATTCACTCCTTCCTTCTTCCACTGAACGCTTATTAAGTACATACAATGTACAAGGCTGTGAAAAGGTAAAACAAGCCATTCAAAGTCCTCACTTTCATGGGACTCAAATTCTAGTAAAAGGATTGTGTATTAAAAAGCCAACCACACCCCCAAGACTATGCCTCTACTTACCCTTCAGGTCTGGAACTGAACTCACTCCTGTGGCTTCCAGTCAAACAATAGACAGGCGTATGTGGTGAACATTTACATCAGGGAGATACACTCCTTGGAGCAATCAATCATGGAAGAATAGAAGGGCAGTGTTTGCACAGGGAGACAGCTGCAGGGGGCAGGTGGTGGGAGTGCACAGGACAGGAAGGACACAGGGAAGAGGTGACCACGGAGAGGAAGTGGGAAGAGAGCTATTACATTGTGGGGAATTGCAGCCAGTGTCATGAAATAAAATGTGTATGAAGTACTGTACAGAAAATGAATTTGCTCTGTAAACTTTCACCCAAATCACAATAAAAATTAAAAGAAAAGAAAAAGCCAACCACAGAATTAATTATTCAGTTACAACTATGTTAACTGCATTGAAAGAGCTTCTGCCAGTTGTCTATTACATGTCCTACACTGTCTTTTGGGCATCATATCTCTTAGATCCCTTTATTTAGATCCTCTTACATCCCCTATATCTTCTTGTCATTGTTAGGTGCTGTCGAGTCGCTTCCGACTCATAGCAACCCCATGCACAGCAGAACGAAATACCACCCAATCCCGCACCAGCTCCATGATCCTGATGTTTCAGGGATGAGAACAAATATTTTTGGTGGAAGAACTCTCTTCTTGTTGGAGCCTGAGCTGAAGGTAGACCTTCCTACCATTGTGTAGAAGTAGGGACTCCAGGGTACTTCTTGGGTCAATCTATTCATTTTCCTTTCTCCTGATTGCTGCAGAACAGTAGATGCTCCTGTCTAGGCATTTTTTGTGCCCATTCTTCTGTTGATTGCCTTAAGACAAACTCAGAAGAAGCCCCAAAAAGCTATTTTGAAAGTCATTGTTGCTCAAAAGGACCCAGAGAACTGTAAGCTGTAGGTGGCCAAAGATAAAAGAGCTCTATGTGAAACATTCTGAGTTACTTTGTATGTATTCACTAAAATTGTGCGCTTGGGTCAACCCCAGCACTGATGGTTTTGATCTGAGGATAACACTGGCACATGCCTACTTCAGGGATAAGCCTCTGACCAAACAATCCAGGAAAGTTCACGTCTACATTTGCATTACTTGTTTTAACCCCAGTGATTCCATGAGAAGTTTCTCCTTGAATTTCTTGCAACTACATCTACCATCTTCCTTTTCTAAAACAAAAATCAAAAGAACCAAAAACAACTCTCATGTTCTAAAATCACAGAATGTCAGAAGTGGATTTTTTTTTTTTTTTTAATCTTCAATTATAATGCAATCTCCATCTTCCTCTATAACCTTTTTAAAATTTCATGCTTTGCTCAGTGATTGATTTGGATTATGTAGCTTGGCTCCTAGATTTGGAAGTGGTGACTGGCAAATGTCTTTGCCTCTGAAATAAGCACGGGACCAACAACACTTATGTTTGTGATCCTTCAAGGAGAATCTCAGAGGTCACTCTTATACTTTTTTACCATTCCATGACCTGGCCAGAAAGTGAACCTGCAGTGTCTCAATTTTAAAGGATTATCCCTCAGTTATCCAGAACCCCAACCTGACAGGTTTGGTCATGAAGTTTTTGTCATCCCAAAGGGATGCAAACCATATTGTCCTAGACATGTCTGCACACAGAGGCAGTCATGACCAGACAGACAGTCTCTAGGTTAACCTCTCATTGGAAGGTTTGAAGGAACAGAAACTCAAATGTCCTGTTATCCACCTCTTCTTTCCCACTGCTTTAACAAAATTCCAAACTCACCGTTGTCAAGTTGATTCCAACTCATAGAGATTCCTCCTTAGGTTTCCGAGGCAGTATCTCTATGGAAGTAGATTGCCCAGTCTTCCTTCCAAGGACTGGCTGGTGGGTTTGAACCGCCAGCCTTCTGGTTAGCAGCCAAATGCCTTAGGCACTACACCACCAAAGAGCCCCACTGCTTTACACCTAGTGATACAGATGTTGAAACCCAGATGCAGATGTGGCACATGGATTTCTACCACCAAGTGGTGCTGGACTATCCAAGTAGACCAAGCATGTGCTTGGGTCATAAGCAAAGCAGGGGCACCCAAAATTCTTTCTGAAAGAATTTAACATTTGGTATTGTAATCGTTCATTATGGGAACTGTCAGAATTTGGCTGGACTTTCTTACACTCTTTTACAGGTTAGTGCTCTTGTTTTCTTTTGAATTACATATCACATCTGAGTAATGCAGCCCTGTGCTTAGAGACAAAAAGGCACTGTGTCCCAGGGCAGAGAACCTGTCCCAGGAGATCCTCTCTGTTGGGATTGTCTGCATGCCTGTTACAGTGCTAATGGGGGAGAGAGGACACAAAAACCAGTAACTGAAGTGTACACTGACACTGAGATTTCCATACTGCATCCTATCTCATGATACAACCCACCCAGGGCATGGTTATGCTCCTTCAACAAATGAGGGGTCATAGAAAGAAAGCCTCCTGTCTTTGGTCATGGCTGGTAAAGAGTGGATACAGAAGGGCCATTCTGGACCCAACCTGTTGCAAAGAACTGAGTCTGGGCCTGGAATCCTAGACCACCTCTGCCACTTGCTCATTGTGTGACTTTGGAGGAAAAGATCTCTAAGTTGTTTCCAATTCAATGGACAATTTTCTGAGTGTACTGTCTGTGTTTGGTAGGGTGGAGTTTGGAGGGGGACAGCAGATGTTTCATCCCCCTATGGGAAAGAGAAAGTGCTCTCCTATTTAGTGAGTGCTGCTGTAGGTCAAGTTTTTTTTTTTTTGCCTACATTCTGTCACTATGTCATCATTAATGGTTAAACATGTGGACATGGGAGTCAGAAAGGACTGGATTCTAGTCCCAGCTCCCACTTAGCAGCTGTGTGACCTTGAACAAGTTATTGTCCCCTCTCTCTAAGTCTTCCTTTCCTCATCTGTAAACTCATATAATTATTGTGAACCTTTAAGAAGTGAATGCATAAACAGTGCTTTCACAAGAGCCTATAAGAGTTCAATTTTTATGCTAGTTTTTCCAATGATTTCTATTGTCATCAGTCTCACTTTTCTGTGGAAAGCTTTTGGCCAAGACCTTTTGAGTTCTACCTGTGAGCATACCCCTTGTCTGGGTCTGCCAGGATATCTGGCCCAAGACCTACAGCCCTTGTATGTATAACCAACCTGGATCCTGGGCACCTGCTTCTTGTACACACCCAATCCACCTTCCTGGATCCCTGGTCCAGGTTCTGAATGCTCCCACCTCCTATCCCAGTATCCCTACCCCAGCCCACTCACCTGCCAAGCCCTGTCCACTCTAGTGTCTCCCTGTAGCGTCCCTTTTGTGTGTCTACACTTAACTTTTGTGGGAAGAGCCTGGCAGGTGTTGAACTATAGCCTATTAAACCCTCAAGGCCTGTTGGGACCCTCTCCCTCAAGATGGTGCTCCCATGGGGAGCCCACAAGGCACCCAAGAGCAACTTCTTGACCCCTCCCAGAGCATGTATTATGAAAGGATGTGCCCCTGGGATTTCCTCATAATGGGAACAGCATAATGAACAGCCCTCAGGGGTTCTGGAACTTTATAGCCAATGAGGCAGCTTTTTTTCTTTTCTTTTCTTGAACGTTTTGCTTTAGGTGAAAGTTTACATAGCAAATTAATTTTCCAGTCAATAATTCATACATAAATTGTTCCATGACATTGGTTGCTATCCCTGTAATGTGTCAACACTATTCCCATTTCTGCCCTGGGTTTCTTATTTCCATTTGTCCAGTTCCCCCGCTCCTCCTTACCTTCTCATCTTTGCTTTGGAGCAGATGTTCCTCTTTTGATACTTACATTTGATTGTTCTAAGGAGCACATTATTCCCAGGTGTTGTTTATTTTATAGACCAGTCTATTATTTGGCTGAAAGGTAGTCTCCAGGAGGGGCTTCAGTTCCAAGTTAGGAGGTTGTCTTAGGACAATAGTCTTGGAGTTTCCTCTAATCTCTGTCAGGCAAGTAAGACTGGCCTCTTTTATGAATTTGAATTTTGTTGTACAGTTTTCACCCACTCTAACTGGGATCTTCTATCGTGTTCCTGGTCAGCGTGGTTGGTGGTGGTAGCTGGGCACTATCTAGTTCTTCTGGTCTCAGGTTAGAGAAGGCTATGGTTCATGTCCTTTCTGACTCCTTTGGACTAATTGCTTCCTTGAGTCTTTGGTTTTCTTCATTTTCATTTGTGCCAGAAGGGAAGAGACCAATAATTATTTCTTTGATGGCCACTTATAAGCTTATAAGACCCCAGATACTACTGATCAAATTAAGTTGTAGAACATTATCTTTATGAATTATATTACGCCAGTTAACCTAGATGTCTTCTGCAACTATGGTCTTTAGCCTTCAAGCCCAGTAGCTCTGTCCCATGAGGTGTTTGGTTATTTCTAAGAAGTTTCCATAACTGTGTCTTGTGTCCTCTGTGTGCTCTATTTTATATATACATACATGTATGTGTGTGTATATGTATGTATGTATGTGGAAATATCCACAACCATACCTATATATACACTCAGGTGTATCCCATGCAACCTCCCACATCTATTTACTATACGTATTTACCTTTGTATCCATTATCAAA